TGTTCAGGTGTCTAAATTGAGAGTTTTCATTAGTTAGCCCCTCAGCTATCATTGGGCTCAGATCAGCATTTAACAATGAGAGCTGTTCCAGCAGTTGGACTACTGTGGCAAAAGGATAATTCCAATGCCAATCCTCCCACACACACACACACACACACACACACACACACAGTTGGACTAGCATTCTAAGCTTATGACAGTACCTTCAGTAGGATAAGTAATAAATCCGCATGTATTGAAGTTCTGTCAATACCGAAAACACTGGATACATTGAAGAAAAACTGTATCAGGTTACCTGATATTGACCTTTCGCCTAGAAAACCTTTGTATATATTATCGCATTCTGAAAGCCACTACCATTTTTCACTGTAACATGTGTTTTAGAATTTTAAATTGAACGCACATTTTCATGCAAGATTTCAAAAATCGGTTATGATATCACTTTGACTTCGGAAGGAAAAGATTTAACGTTCACTACAGAAGCGCTGCATATCTACACCTTTTGCTATAAGTTATTCAGAACAGTAAACAACAAGGTTCCGGAGTTCAAAAATGAGATCACAACGTTACCAACACACCAAGTGAAAAACCGAAAAAATGTGGATTTTAACCGAAAGCCATATTGATGATCGCTTAAGATGTTGAAGCCTTCCAAATATTCAAGGGTATGGTGGTTTACGGCTTCCTCCATGATTTTTGATATCACTGATTACTTTCCTATAAAATCAATATAATAAGTCCATTACCAACCTCAACATCCAGAAAAAAAATTAGAAAATAGTAAAAAAATGCCAAGTTACTTCTCAACTTGCCTAACAATAGGTTATGTAATTGTATAAAGGATCCAAGTTCAACGATGTAAATGACGAAATGAGTGCAATCAATACACTCATCATCAATGTAAATGGGACTTTCCTTAGTTGAGGGCACCAGCCTCCTAAATTGTTACAAACAAGAAAGCAACTCGTCAACGTCGATTAATAAGACTTTCGCAAATTCACTGGGTATATCCAAACATATAAAAAATAATAGTTTTCAATGTGATAATTTTGAATGAATAAGTAGAGATTAAAAATATATCGGAACTTAAAGTGATTGCTAGAAATAATTTACATGTTTCCACCCCATGCGCTTTTCACTATTGCCCTATATACGGCTATTTGTTTTTTGATGCGCTTCGCACGCATTAATTTTTTTTTCCTGCGTTTTTGTTTGTTCGTTATATTGTCATAACCATTGTGAAATAATTCACCTACTCAAATCTGATTGCGCAACTTGTATGTTTAGAGTTTGTAAGTAGATCTCGTAGACAAACTGTTATAAGGGCAAAAATTTTATTGACCATTTCCAGAAGATTATTTCATCAAAGGCACTGCAATGAGGATTAAATCCGTCATAAAGACGTAGTGTCATTTTTTTATTTTATCCAATAAAATTCTTGAAAATAATCAACGAAGAAAAAATGTTCTTAAGTGTGTCACTCTTGAGTCCACACAAACGATTCATTATGTTGAAAAAATTGTTGGATAACGATGAATGGTATTTATCTCCTCCAAGTCATATATTTTTTTTTTTATTTTTGCTAAGTATGGATAAGTATAAGGTGGGCTAAAAAGTCAGTAGGCTAACATACTGTTGGAATACTGTACATTTATATTGTGCTCTCTTTGGAACGCTCCCGATCAGTTTGGTCGGTGACGATGATGAATGTGAAAAAGAGAAGAAGAATTAGGGTTAGGAAGTTATAGAGGCATTAGTTATAGTGTCAATTACTTAAGCAGGTTTCAAAATTGTTATAATAATACACATTATAAGTATGCGTTGAGAGTTTTAAAATATTTGTATCTAATGAACTGATGACAAACTGATTGACCCATGAACGACATTACTCACCCGTCATGATGATGAGTGAGAGTTAACATATTTCATTTTCGGTTCGAAATTTAAATCTGAATTGGTCCACTACAGTTGTCCTAAGGTTGTCCGATTGATTTCTACAATTTCAACTTGACTTAGGCCGATCACATACTTGGCAATTTCCGAGCGTTTTTTTCCAGCGCGGCTTCCGAACGGAAATTGCTACAGTGAGTACCTGACAGAGTCCGCGATTTCCGAGCGATTTACTGGCAGTCCGGATTTCTGACTGGAGGGAAATATTCCCTTGTCGTCCTCTAGTATCGTTCGCGCCTTCAAGGCAAGTATGAAGTCTGCTGCTACAGCTGATGCGATATTTCACCATCAAATGGTGGTATCCTTTTACGCTTTGGAAGCAGAAGACCCTCCTGCTGGGAGGCGCCTCCCAAGGAGGTACGACGTGCACCTGTACCACTGAAAGAGGAACCAGGAAGAAAGGTTTTCTGTTTTCTACAAAAAAAATCAGAGAACATACAAACAAGTTTTTTACCTATTACCGAATGTCCATATATAAAGTCGTTCGATGAACTTGTGGCAATTGATCGACATTTGCTACCGAAAGATTGCACCATGAAAGTAAAATACATGCTTGTAGTATAATTCAAGTAAACGATATAGTGCAACCTACCTTTCAACAGATCCGCTTTAATAATATAGTTACATATATAAATATTTCGTTTATATAGGTGGGTGAGAAAGTAGGGATTCAAATAACAGGGTGATAATTGAAAATACTTCACTACTTCACTAACTTTCTTCGAAAGCTTCTGATAATTCATTTTCCATATTATCTGTTTCACTATCACTGTGGTCATTTGAATCGATAGTGAATTTATTTCCACCATAAATATGGGAGTGTCGAATCTCCATAAAGTCTTTTTCAAATAAAACTACTTTTTTAATCCTTTTCTGCCAGTCTTCTTCGGTAATATCATATACTTCTTTTTCAATTAGCTCTATTACCTTCATATCAAGTTTTGGAAAATTATTTTTACGCTTGATGATAGCCCCAAATCAACTCGATGGGATGGGAAACACAAAAATAGGGGGGAAGTCTCAATATGGTGTGTCCATACGTTTTAGCAAGTCTCAAGGGCATACACTTTTTCAAATGTTTCTGTCTGTAAAACTTCAAGTAGTTGGTTTTTGGTATAGTAATCTTCAAAATACAAATTGATATTCATTAAAAAACTTTGTATTTCATCTTCCCCCGAATTTTTATTCGATACTTTGATGAGCTGTCGCGAATTAGGAAGCGTTGTGAAGAACTAGTAGACTATTTGCATCCAAATTTGAGATCAATGTGTTCTCAAACCATTCCTCGAATATATAAGCTTCCATGTTCTTATGATAGTCAACATTGCAGTCCTCAAGTTTTTTTCCACATAATTTCAAAGAATTCGGAACCCATCCTTTAATTCCTCTGCAATGCACAATGATTAGCCGCGATCCTTTGTTTGCAGGCATGTTAGGCGTACACATTCTCGAACCATCAGTCCACCCTTTCGTAACTATGTCGTGAGTGTCATAACAAGTTTAGTTCAAATAAAAAATTTGCCGTTGTTCTTGTCTACATTTAGTTATTTGTTCTTAGTATTTGTTACACAATTCCACTATTCTTCTGCTTTCCATAACTGTTTGACGTTTGTTTATTATTTTAAATCTAAATCCTAGGTTCTTTATACAATTCTGAAGAGTTTTGTCACATCAACTCACGTTATGCCCGGAAGTATTCAATTTCTTTCTTATGATTTCAGTTATAGGAATCTCATTGCTTTTTTAACAGTCGTATATTGTTTTTTTCAATGATTTCATTAGATGAACATCTAAAGGTTCTGGTAACCCCGTATCACATCGCGTCTTGCGTTCATAAGGTTTGTTCGTGACTATTTTACGTACAATTGAGAAAGGATTTTCGATCAAATCTGAAGTTGCTTGTAATAGTTTGTTTCCCTCGAAACCAAATTTGAGATGTAGATTATTATATACGTTGAAACATACTCTATATGTTCCAATATTCAAATGCATCCGAATCATAATCACTGGTATTTCTTTTTCGTATTGTTCACCATCGCTATTGGAATCACTACCCAGGAAAAAGTCTACGTTGTTATCACACTCGTTTTAACTATTAGTACTTGTCCAAGGATACTACATAAACAGATAACAAAAATTTTAAGTAGTTATAACTGCACCGATACCGAATTTCAACACTCAAATCGCGATCAGTTCCTGAACTGAACATTGACAACACGACGGTTCGCATTCTATTCGTCACCGTAACATGGCTTCAAAATTGAATTTTATGACTCTTCAGCCGATCATTAAACTCGGTTATTAAAAATCATCCAATACGAACCGCCAATTCTTCAGTCCACGTGGACGAGTTGGTAGCGGATTTATTTCTTTGTATTGGTTATTTGGCTTTTGAGGGCGCCGACACTTTAAGTATGCACAATACCAGTTACTTCGACTATACATACATGTTATACACATTTTCTAAATAGTTTTATTGTATCACATTTATTGTATTGTATGTATTGTATTGTATCAGTATGTGATAGAGAAGTAGAAGAAAACGAACTAGCTCATCTCCCAATCTCTTCTTGAATAATTCTCCCTTTCAATTCAAATTCAATTTGTGCTTTCATTTGTTAAACTGCCACAATAAAATCGGATGTCAATTTATCGTTCTCAATAAAAAAAGTTTTACAATGAATTTTTATTACAGGCAATAATTTCGAATAGAGAAGTGGAAAGAAAGGTTTTATTTTTGAAAATTGTGGGTGTGGTCTAATTGCGCGCGGAGAAAAGTTTTTCAATATCTTGATTTTCCCCACGGTCCCAACGATATGTTTTCAGAAATATGAGATTAATTTTTGGTTTTCGAAATATCGAGAGTGGAATATTTTGAGTTTGTCTCAATTTCTATTTTTAGAAGGTGTTTAAATGATTATTCAAAGAGTTTCACATATTTTTTTGAATAAAACTGATAAATGTAAAACTAAAACTTGTGGTTACAGAAAAGCAGAGGCGACACATTTTTGTTTTTCACACACACACACACACGTCTGATGGTTACTTACCCAAAATAGACATATTTTGTATCCTAGCCACATTTTCAAATAACAACCATTTATCAGACACTGCGTTCAAGACTGAGTTTTAGATTAAAATGCAAGTGAAATTTGACTTCGAACTGACCATCAGTGTTTGACCCCTCAAATCCAGTCAGTGGCTACTGAAAATAAAAACGTTCAGAACCAGTTCAAGAATGTTTTTTTATTATTATTCACTTCCATATTTACACAAACTCATCGGTTGCATGCTGCAATCATAGACCCTGATAGTAAAAACAAATATGAACAGTTGTGTTGTGAATGATACAATTGGACATCGGTATTGACTATCGACCGTACGTTGTCTGTTCAAAGCTGTTCATTTTTCCCAAAAAATATTTATTAATTCATCAATTTATATTTTGTCCCATAAAAAGTAGTTCTTGTCAGCCGTTCCTCTCAGTAGTTCCCCGAAGCAGTTCTGATATGCACTTTTTGATATGTCCTTGATAGTCTAATCAACAAGTTCAAAAACATGAAAAATAGAGATAAAGGTTCTGAAAATATGAGCGATAGCTCATTCGATTCGGAATCACCTCTGGAAAAATGTTTTTGAAGGATTTTGGTGCAGGTAAAAATTGCAATTGTTATTAACAAAATAAGATTAAAAAAATGGTATTTAATTTTCCGTTAATAACTCAAAACATATTAATATTTAAGCAATTTAAAAAAAAAGCTCATTAAAAAGGAGGAAATTTCAGATAAAAAAGTCCCGACTCCCGAAACTCTATCTACATTATTCATAATATTAATTTAACGTTGAAAATGACGTTGACGTTGAAAAATAGGGTTCCGCGCGGCTGTTACGGCATGCGCGCGCTGCCGCTAAAGAGAGTTTATCAAAGGAAATAATTTTTGGGAAAGAAAGTTTTTGGCTTTCTACTACTCCATCTTGATACAAAAAAA